ACATTCTTTTCGCAACCAACCATTAAAACTTTCCATGTGCTGACGCCTAATCCAAGCTTCAGTCTTCCCTGGAAACTTGGATCGTAAGAACTCCTTATGTATCTCGATGTACGGATGCACCAATGACGAGTTCTGAAGAACTGTGTAGTGTGCTTTATTGAAATAATCGTCTTCCATGTCGATATATGTTTTCTTCCCTAAAGTTCCTTTACCACTGAGTCTCCCCTTGTGTCGCGATTCGGGAACGCCAATCGGGGCAAGGTCAGGAATAAAGTCAACACAGAACTCAATGACCTCCTCTGTTCCATAGCCTAGGCGATGCTTCCTTTAGGCTTAGAACGGACTTTCACATATTTCTTCAAGACTCCCATAAACCTCTCGAAGGGGAACATGTTATGTAAGAACACAGGTCCAAGAATACTAATCTCCTTCACCAAATGAACTAGGAGGTGTGTCATGATATTAAAGAAGGATGGAGGGAACACCAACTCAAAGCTGATAAGACATTGAACCACATCATTCTGTAGAGTAGCTAGTTCCACTGGATTGATTGCCTTCTGAGAAATTGCATTGAGGAATGCACATAGCTTCACGGTGGCTAGACGTACATGTGGAGGTAGAATTCCTCTTAAAGCAACTAGAAGCAATTGCGTCATAAGCACGTGGCAGTCGTGGGACTTTAAGTTTAGGAATTTCTTCTCTGGCACATTTATTATACCCTTTATATTGGAGGAGAATCCCGATGGGACCTTGATGCTGCTTAGACATTCGAACATGCTGTCCCTCTCTTCTTTGCTAAGCGTGTAGCTAGCAGGACTTAAGTAATGACGTCCATCATCTGTCTTCTCTAGATGAAGGTTGTCTCATTCTTTCATGCCCTGCAAGTCCTGGCGTGCTTCAAGTGAATCCTTTGGCTTCCCATACACACCCATGAATCCTAGCAGGTTCACACAAAGATTCTTTGTCAGGTGCATCACGTCGATTGCGTTGCGGACCTCTAGGACTTACCAATAGGGTAGCTCCCAAAAGATGGACTTCTTCTTCCACATGGGTGCGTGTCCCTTAGCATCTTTGGGAACAGATTCGCTGCCTTGTCCCTTTCCAAATACTACTTTCACATCCTTGACCATTGTGAGTACATCTTCCCTAGTTCGGTTATGAGGCTTCTTCCGGTGGTCCGGCTTACCTTTAAAATACTTCCATTTCTTTCTTACTTGGTGATTCAAAGGAAGGAATCGACGATGGCCAAGGTACACGACCTTTCGACATCTTTTCAAATATATACTGTCAAGTCATCAAAACAATGTGTGCATGTATTATATCCTTTGTTTGTCTGACCTGAAAGATTACTTAAAGCAGGCCAATCATTGATTGTTACGAACAACATTGCTCGTAGGTCAAAGTGTTCTTGTTTGTACTCATCCCAGACACGTACACCTGGTTTGTTCCATAAAACTAGAAGTTCTTCAACTAATGGCTTTAGATAGACATCAATGTCGTTGCCAGGTTGCCTCGGACCTTGGATGAGGATCGGCATCATAATGAACTTTCGCTTCATGCATAACCATGGAGGAAGGTTGTAGATACATAGAGTAACTGGCCAAGTGCTATGACTAGTGCTCTGCTCCCCAAAAGGATTCATACCATCTGTACTTAAGGCGAACCTTAAGTTTCTAGCCCCATTTGCAAACTCTAGAAATTCCCTATCTATCGCTCTCCACTGGGACCCATCAACTAGGTGTCTCAGCATATTGTCTACCTTACGGTCTTCTTTATGCCACCGCAACAACTTTGCATGGTCTTTATTTCTGAACAAACGTTTTAAGCGTGGTATTATAGGAGCATACCACATAACCTTGGCAGGGATTTTTTTTCTAGGACGTTGTTCACCCTCAATGTCACCAGGATCATCGCGCCTAATCTTATACCGCGATGCTTTACATACCGAGCATTCATCCAAATTCTCGTATTCATTGCCATGGTAGAGGATGCAGTCATTAGGACATGTATGTATCTTCTAGATTTTTAATCCCAAAGGGCAGACAACCTTTTTTGCTTCGTACGTAGTGGTGGGCAATTTATTTGGCTTCGGAAGCATCTTCTTTATGAGGTTCAATAAATTCCCAAATGCCTTATCGGATACACCATTCTTTGCCTTCAACTGTAGCAATTCTAGTGTTGTACCCAGCTTTTTTTTGCCCCTCTTCGGCCGTCGGGTATAGCAACTTCCTATGATCCTCAAGCATGCGCTCGAACTTAACTTTCTCTTTTTCACTTTCGCATTCTTGTTGTGCATCACGAATGGCATCGCCAAAAGCATCACCGAGATCATCTTCTGCCGCTACCTCTTCTTCATCTCCCCCCATTGTAGTATCATCAAAGGCACCATACTGAGCGATAATGTCATCAATGTCTAAATCTTCTCCTTCACCTTCTTCCATCATGACCCCGCTTTCTCCATGCTTAGTCCAACATATATAGTTTGACATGAAACCTGACTTAAGCAAATGTGAATGAAGACTCATTGAGCTTGAATATTCCTTTAAATTCTTACATAGGGCACATGGACAGCACATGAAACCATCCCGTGTATTTGTCTCGGCCACACCTAAGAAATAGTGCACGCTCTCAATAAAGTCTTGGGAGCGGCGATCGGCATTGTACATCTAATGGCGTGATATAATCTGCATTACACGACAAATTATAAAAACCTTAAACATAATTAAGTATTTTATTACACAACATAGATGACATACACACGGTTGATTAATTAACTAAGCCTGGCTACGACGTAAGCAATCCCAACTATCACTAAACAAACTAAAACTACAATGCACTTCAGTAACATAATTATTTTGTGACCGTACGTAACTAAAACAGACAAATGATTTGTCTGTTGAATATCAATAAGCTTCTCCTACTGGCTCACTGCCTCATCATCAGCAGCCGCTACCTCAAGCGCACCCGAATTCTGCACGTATGTAGCATAATCTTCCTCTCAGTACCAACCATCGCATCCATTGCCCTCCCACTGAAATTAAAGCCAAAAAATATTTAGTCAAAAATATTCAAGAAAAGCAGGTCAATTAGCCATAATAATCAAATGCGTAAGAAACTCACATCGCGATCCGGGCACTTGTAGAAAACACGACCCTTGTTGGGTCCCTGTCTCTTGACTCGGTACTCCATCACAATCTTCTGCTTACACTTGCCGTAGATAATAAGAGGGAGTTCTGGCCTCAGTCGTTTCGCAACCGAACGAGAGGCCGAGGATCCGGTACCAGTTGTCATCTACTTTCTATACTTATTTTTGCAAACTAGTGTAAATTTCACATTTTCTAAAATAATATATTTAAACAAAACTAAATTTATTTATTTATCTAACTAAACCATGAAATATGTACTATGTATAATAGTAAAATACCAAACTATCAAGCGATTTTACTATTGTAAATCATCATGTGATTTTGAGCTAAAAATGACATAGAAATCATAATCAAATCCACCATATCAAGTTACTTTCTATACTTATTTTTGCAAACTATTGTAAATTTCTCATTTCTAAAGTAATATATTAAAAAAATAAAAATATTTATTTATCTAACTAAACCATGAAATGTACTACATATACTAGCAATACTAAACTATCAAGTGATTTTGATGAACTAATTTAACTTTTGTTTATCCAAACATATATGCAAATCATCATGTGATTTTGAGCTAAAAATAACAGAAAATCATAATAAAGTCCAACATATAAAGTTACACATGCATCTACATCGCAAAATGAGATAAGCTACTGATAAAGCATAAGAGGATTAAGTTTGTTACCTCCAAAATCGAAGAGCAACTCCAATGGAGGGGGAGAGAGCAAGAACAACAGCAAGCTGAAGAACAGAGGCAGTGAGTTTGAATGGAATGGCTCGGGCTCGGGGAGGAAGAAATGAGCTGGTCTATAGGCCGGAATAATTAGTCCCGGTTAGGGGGCCAAACTGGGACTAAAGATTAATCTTTATTCCCGGGGCATCACCCAAACCGGGACTAAAAACTTTAGTCCCAGCTGGTATTAGTCCCGGTTGGTAATACCAGCCGGGACTAAAGATCCCTGCCCTGCGGACGACCGTTGGGTAGGAACCTTTAGTCCCGGTTGGTATTACCAACCGGGACTAAAGGAGGCTAATGCCAAATTAGGACATCATTCTAAAGTCTGTTCTCTAGTAGTGCCGGAATACCTGGGAGTTGTCATAGCCACCGCGGATCGAGTTTTACGGAGATGCAAATGACTGTGTTGACAAATACTCACATATTTTGGATGTATATGACTGAATCTGGACGTTGATGGTTGCTACACTCATGGTATAAGAGGAATGCTTCGCAAATTATTATACAAGGATCACGCTCCGATCCCCTAACATCGATAATGACTCATTGTGAAAAATGTGCTCACCGAATTATAAATTGTTCGCTTTATACATTTTGGATATTATTGCTCCTAATTAATTTTTTTCTTGCAGCTCGATGAAATAAAAGATATGCTTCCTGATCAACAAATATATTCACGTTATTGGATCCAACCAGGGTTGAACAAAACATACGCAGTAGCCTTAGAAGAGAAGTAATACACATCGAGAAGAATACAGCTATTGACACGATCGACTACACAACTTGTCTCTGTTTCTGTATTTTGTCCCTCTTGATTACAAACTTAATCTGCCCTTTGTTTTAACACCTTGCATGCCGCCTCTTCTTTCTAGGCACAGCTCCTGGCCTTACTAACATGTACTTGGATGCTAGTACAACATAACTTCATAGCTCCTATATGCAGTATACACACAGTAGAATACACCCACGATGTTTATTATTCACTTGTGCGACATGAACACACATGACATGCATGCAAGAACTATCAAAACAGGATTATGTCTAACATATATGTTATGTACGATATATGATCAAACAAAGTGCCAATATACCAGCTTCCGACATTTCGGTAATTTTCCCTAGAAGTGATTCATCATCCAGGTCGAGCTCACAGATGCAGCCATTTCCGGTGGTAGACTTGGCACCCCCTCACCTCCCAGATCTCTCAACAATACCGTCAGCAAATCCTTGTCACAGTTTATAGTAGGATCAGTGTAGCTTCCCATTTCGTCAGGCTGACCCTTGGCATTGTCTGTCACCACAGGAAGGTAGCTTGGTTGCTGAGCACCATCGACAACAATGTTGTTGCTGGCACCATTTTGCAGTGTCAACCTGATTTCTTCTTGCCCATTAGAGTTTGCTGTGGTGGTTTTGAGGCTGGCCCTTGGCATTGCCATGGCAGCTTGAACCTGCGCCAGTGTGATGCCCATGAGAGTTTGCAGTGGTGGTGATGAGGCTGTCGTAGTGCCATGACCATCAGTGGCTGGGCTTCTTGCCTTGAAGTTGGCACTTCCTGGTTTCTTCTTCCAGATGACTTTGCACAGTACCCAATCTTCCTGGTGGTGGGACATCAGGACCCATATAATAAAAAATAAACTACTGTCAACATCTCATTGATTATTATAACTGTAGCCCTGGTTGCAATCTTGGCAACTGTTGTAGCTGAACTAGCTTTGATTGTGTGACTCAACATTGTGAATACTTCAATTTTAAAGGAAAAAACTCCAAATTAATTAGGGTTTTTCAGTTTGTCCAACCTACCCACTAATTTTAGGATTTCTGTTCAATTCATTGCTCTACTCTTGATTTTTCAGTTGGTCCAACTTACCCATTAATATTAGGATTTGATTCGTTTTCTGTTTGTCCACGTTCAAGTTGAGTTTGAAGTTGAAATTTGTAGGATGATAGCGAATATCATAACTTATATATATATTAGAAAAATATATTATTTTTCATCATAATTTTTTTATAGTCATGTATCAGTAGGGTTAATTTTGTATAGATGCCTAAGATATAAAAAAATGAGAAAAGATCATAATATATATAATTTTTCTAAAATAAATTCCGATACCCTATATCATCCTATAAAAGTTGAACTTAAAATTGAAATTATATCAAAAACAAAAAAATATTATTAAGTGTTACCTTGGATCAACTAAAAGATCTAGAGGGGTAAATTGAACATAAAAATTCGTTTAGGTGTTACCAGAACGATGTTCCTATCTAGGGGAGTAATTGGACCTTTTCCATTTTATACAACCCTGATTCATACATGTGTAAATTTTGTATCTACTTTAACTTTATTTTTCAGGGCCATACACTTTTCTTTAATTTGGTCAATCAAATAAAGTGATCAGTGATCCAAATTTTGTATTTTTATGTGAGGTTGAAAATGAAACTATTTGCAAATTATTAAAGAGCTTACTACTTGATAAGGATAAGAAATTCCTTGAATTGTTTCATACAAGCACATTTTGGGTGAAGAATGAAGTGAAGTTATTATTGCAAGCAAGTTGGCATCACTTTCTCTTTTCATCACTGGAAGAATAATTTCATATCTTAAGATGGGCTATATCTTTGTTCTTTTCCAAGAAAAATGAAGAGTAGTTCTTATTATATTTGTCTACTAGTACATGTCTATATTATCACATAGTAATTGTAAACCACGGAGTGGACAAGTAAATGGGGCAAATATCCTTGTGTTCATGATCAGTAATACTAAAAGAAAAAATGATTAAAAAAAGTCCCGGGTAGAAGAGGGCAATTCATTTTATGTTTTTAGTTTTACTTTAGACTTATGGATGCAACACATCACTTCCTCTGTTTCACTGTTTCTGTTAGAACTGCATACAAGTATTTGATTAATATTTTAACTTTTATTCACTGGAATCATTTAATAAGACCAAGATTAACGATTTGGTTCCATACAAATTAACCTATCTTTTAAGTTTGCTACATATATATGTGGACGACTGGATAAACATGTGGAGGTATAGTATATATATTTCCTGTATTTCCCTAACATTATTTAGACGATTTAATAACATGAAGTTAATCTTGAATTTATATGGACAGAACATGATCGCTATAGATTACTATCGTATATACACATAATTTTAATTAGCCATGATACCAACATGTTTAATAGAGAAAATTATACAACAATGCAATTCATTGTGCTGACAACTTGTTCCTAGGTTACGAACAAATCAATCACCATTGCAAACTATCACAAGTCAATGACTTATTACCCCTTTTTAGTTCCATGTCTTGGATATGCAATATAATTTCTTGTTTCATGCACATGTGTAAACTAGATCAGTAGTATGTTCGCTAGCTAGGCACACCTTATTTCATAAATTACCTTGGAAAGGTTGGAGGATTGCTCATGTGAGCCCTCCATCATCCTGTACTCATGCATCACCCAGTCCGTCTTGCTTCCCTTGGGGGCTCTGCCATGGTAAAATACAAGGGTTTTCCTCATCCCCACCAACATGCCATGACACTCCACCACACGGTCCTTGCCTGTAGCCTTCCAGTAACCAGATGCTGTTGCCTGGTTTGTGCGTTGCCCCGTCGCATACTTTCGGTCCCTTTGGCTGAAGAAATACCACTCCCTAGGCCCGACCAACGCTGCCCCTGATGAGCACACAAATAGCAACATATATATATTGCAAACATCATTTACTGTGCTGAGTTATCCTAAAGGACAAATATATGTCCGTATGTATAGAGATGCATGGTTTCCTTTATGTGTAAATGCATGCTCCTGTTTTGATAGTAAACTCGCACGTACAACTTGGTTGATAGTAGTGTCCTTTTCACCCTTTATTTTCTAGTGTCTTTTTTTTTACTGGTGGAAAAAACTATTGCATTTGAAAGCGGCAAAAACTATATATGTATTAACAATGTAGTAGTATAGGCATCACAGCGTTTGGGAAAATAAACATAGGCGGCAATTTTGTCTAGAGGATCTGAGATCCATCCCGTATATAAGATGTTTATGCATATGGCGACAGAAAGATGCTTAGCAGCTTAAGTACTTGATATTGAACCAGAACTACGAATAATTCAGGTGTGGTTAAACAAAGTTGTCATGGCGTGGTAGTCATCGATCTCCAGTTTGGGTAGGGGCAACAACGTTATTTCACTACTAGAGAATAGACTTTAGAACGATGTCCCAATTTCGCATTAGCCTCGGCATTTTTTGTCCCCGGGACTAAAGGTTCCTGCCCAACGGTCATCTGCGGGGCAGGGATCTTTAGTCCCGGCTGGTATTACCCACTGGGACTAAAGGGACTAAAGCTTTTAGTCCCGGTTTGGGTGATGCCCCGAGAATAAAGATTAATCTTTAGTCCCGATTTGGCCCCCTAACCGGGACTAATTATCCCGGCCTATAGACCAGCTCATTTCTTTCTCCACGAGCCCGAGCCATTCTATTCAAACTCACTGCCTCTGTTCTTCAGCTTGCTGTTGTTCTTGCTCTCTCCCCCTCCATTGGTGTTGCTCTTCGATTTTGGAGGTAACAAACTTAATCCTCTTATGTTTTATCAGTAGCTTATCTCATTTTGCGATGTAGATGCATGTGTAACTTTATATGTTGGACTTTATTATGATTTTATGTCATTTTTAGCTCAAAATCACATGATGATTTGCATATATGTTTGGATAAACAAAAGTTAAATTAGTTCATCAAAATCACTTGATAGTTTAGTATTGCTAGTATATGTAGTACATTTCATGGTTTAGTTAGATAAATAAATATTTTTATTTTTTTAATATATTACTTTAGAAATGAGAAATTTACAATAGTTTGCAAAAATAAGTATAGAAAGTAACTTGATATGGTGGATTTGATTATGGTTTCTATGTCATTTTAGCTCAAAATCACATGATGATTTACAATAGTAAAATCACTTGATAGTTTGGTATTTTACTATTATATATAGTACATATTTCATGGTTTAGTTAGATAAATAAATAATTTTAGTTTTGTTTAAATATATTATTTTAGAAAATGTAAAATTTACACTAGTTTGCAAAAATAAGTATAGAAAGTAGATGACAACTGATACCGGATCCTCGGCCTCTCGTTCGGTTGCGAAACGACTGAGGCCAGAACTCTCTCTCATTATCTGCGGCAAGTGTAAGCAGAAGATTGTGATGGAGTATCGAGTCAAGAGACAGGGACCCAACAAGGGTCGTGTTTTCTACAAGTGCCCGGATCGCGATGTGAGTTTCTTACGTATTTGATTATTATGGCTAATTGACCTGCTTTTCTTTAATATTTTTGACTAAATATTTTTTGGCTTTAATTTCAGTGGGAGGGCAATGGATGCGATGGTTGGTACTGGGAGAAAGATTATGCTACATACGTGCAGAATTCGGGTGCGCTTGAGGTAGCGGGTGCTAATGATGAGGCAGTGAGCCAGCAGGAGAAGCTTATTGATATTCAACAGACGAATGATTTGTCTGTTTTAGTTATGTACGGTCACAAAATAATTATGTTACTGAAGTGCATTGTAGTTTTAGTTTGTTTAGTGATAGTTGGAATTGCTTACGTTGTAGCCAGGCTTAGTTAATTAATCAACCGTGTGTGTGTCATCTATGTTGTGTAATAAAATACTTAATTATGTTCAAGGTTTTTATAATTTGTCGTGTAATGCAGATTATGTCACGCCATTGGATGTACAATGCCGATCGCCGCTTCCAAGACTTTATTGAGGGTGTGCACTATTTCTTAGGTGTGGCCGAGGCAAATAAGCGGGATGGTTTCATGTGCTGTCCATGTGCCCTATGTAAGAATTTAAAGGAATATTCAAGCTCAATGAGTCTTCATTCACATTTACTTAAGTTAGGTTTCATGTCAAACTATATATGTTGGACTAAGCATGGAGAAAGCGGGGTCATGATGGAAGAAGGTGAAGGAGAAGATTTAGACATTGATGACATTATTGCTTAGTATGGTGCCTTTGATGATACTACAATGGGGGAGATGAAGAAGAGGTAGCGGCAGAAGATGATCTCGGTGATGCTCTTGGCGATGCCATTCGTGATGCACAACAAGAATGCAAAAGTGAAAAAGAGAAAGTTAAGTTTGAGCGCATGCTTGAGGATCATAGGAAGTTGCTATACCTGATGGCCGAAGAGGGGCAAAAAAGCTAGGTACAACACTAGAATTGCTACAGTGGAAGGCAAAGAATGGTGTATCCGACAAGACATTTGGGAATTTATTGAACCTCATAAAGAAGATGCTTCTGAAGCCAAATGAATTGCCCACCACTACGTACGAAGCAAAAAAGGTTGTCTGCCCTTTGGGATTAAAAATCCAGAAGATACATGCATGTCCAAATGACTGCATCCTCTACCATGTCAATGAATACGAGAATTTGGATGAATGCTCGGTATGTAAAGCATCGCGGTATAAGATCAGGCGCGATGATCCTGGTGACGTCGAGGGTGAACAACGTCCTAGAAAGAAAATCCCTGCCAAGGTTATGTGGTATGCTCCTATAATACCATGCTTAAAATGTTTGTTCAGAAATGAAGACCATGCAAAGTTGTTGCGGTGGCATAAAGAAGACCGTAAGGTAGACAATATGCTAAGACACCCAACTGATGGGTCCTAGTAGAGAGGGATAGACAGGGAATTTCCAGAGTTTGCAAATGAGGCTAGAAACTTAAGGTTCGCCTTAAGTACAGATGGTATGAATCCTTTTGGGGAGCAGAGCACTAGTCATAGCACTTGGCTAGTTACTCTATGTATCTACAACCTTCCTCCATGGTTATGCATGAAGCGGAAGTTCATTATGATGCCGATCCTCATCCAAGGTCCGAGGCAACCTAGCAACGACATTGATGTCTATATGAAGCCATTAGTTGAAGAACTTCTAGTTTTATGGAACAAACCAGGTATACGTGTCTAGGATGAGTACAAACAAGAACACTTTGACCTACGAGCAATGTTGTTCGTAACAATCAATGATTGGCCTGCTTTAAGTAATCTTTTAGGTCAGACAAACAAAGGATATAATACATGCACACATTGTTTTGATGACCTTGACATTATATATTTGAAAAGATGTTGAAAGGTCGTGTACTTTGGCCATCATCGATTCCTTCCTTTGAATCACCAAGTAAGAAAGAAAGGGAAGCATTTTAAAGGTAAGCCAGACCACCGAAAGAAGCCTCATAATCGAACTGGGGAAGATGTACTCGCAATGGTCAAGGATGTGAAAGTAGTATTTGGAATGGGACAAGGCAACGAATATGTTCCCAAAGATGCTAAGGGACACGCACCCATGTGGAAGAAGTCCATCTTTTGGGAGCTACCCTATTGGCAAGTCCTAGAGGTCTACAATGCAATCGACGTGATGCACCTGACAAAGAATCTTTGTGTGAACCTATTAGGGTTCATGGGTGTGTATGAGAAGCCAAAGGATTCACTTGAAGCACGCCAGGACTTGCAGGGCATGAAAGAACGAGACAACCTTCATCCAGAGAAGTCAGATGATGGACGTCATTACTTAAGTCCTGCTAGCTACTTGCTTAGCAAAGAAGAGAGGGACAGCATGTTCGAATATCTAAGCAGCATCAAGGTCCCATCGGGATTCTCCTCCAATATAAAGGGTATAATAAATGTGCTAGAGAAGAAATTTCTAAACTTAAAGTCCCACGACTACCACGTGCTTATGACGCAATTGCTTCTAGTTGCTTTAAGAGGAATTCTACCTCCACATGTACGTCTAGCCACCGTGAAGCTATGTGCATTCCTCAATGCAATTTCTCAGAAGGCAATCAATCCAGTGGAACTAGCTACTCTACAGAATGATGTGGTTCAATGTCTTGTCAGCTTTGAGTTGGTGTTCCCTCCATCCTTCTTTAATATCATGACACACCTCCTAGTTCATTTGGTGAAGGAGATTAGTATTCTTGGACCTGTGTTCTTACATAACATGTTTCCCTTCGAGAGGTTTAAGGGAGTCTTGAAGAAATATGTGAAAGTTTATTCTAAGCCTAAAGGATGCATCGCCTAGGGATATGGAACAGAGGAGGTCATTGAGTTCTGTGTTGACTTTATTCCTGAGCTTGCCCCGATTGGCGTTCCCGAATCGCGACACAAGGGGAGACTCAGTGGTAAAGGAACTTTAGGGAAGAAAACATATATTGGCATGGAAGACGATTATTTCAATAAAGGACACTACACAGTTCTTCAGAACTCGTCATTGGTGCATCCGTACATCGAGATACATAAGGAGTTCTTACGATCCAAGTTTCCAAGGAAGACTGAAGCTTGGATTAGGCGTCAGCACATGGAAAGTTTCAGTGGTTGGTTGCGAAAAGAATGTCAAGGCGATGACAATATTGATGAGCAACTGTATTTGTTGGCTAGGCAACCATCATGGCATATCCTCATGTACCAAGGGTATGAGATAAATGGGAATACATTTTACACAGTTGCTCAAGATAAAAGGAGCACCAATCAAAATAGTGGTGTTCGCATAGATGGCATAGATCCAAATGGGAATATACAAACATATTATGGCCGCATAGAAGAGATATGGGAATTAGACTACGCACCTAAATTTAAAGTCCCTTTGTTCCGGTGCCAATGGGTGAAGCTGACCTGAGGAGGGGTA